GGCAGTGCGGCAACCCGCAGTGGCAGGAGCCGCGGCAGTGCATCTACCAGGGCCGGCGGTACAACTACGGCGAGACGTTCCGCTTCGCCTGCCAGTGGTGCGTGTGCGGGACAGACGGGGCGGTGACGTGCCAGTGCACGCCGCGGCGGCGCCGTGAGATAAGGGACCTGACGCTTGACGAGGTGCAGACGTACATTGACGCCATCTGGCGCTTGTACAACAGTGGCAACAGGTGGAACGAGTTTGTCAACATGCACCTGAGCGCATCTGCTTCAGCACACGGCAACCCAAGTTTCCTCCCCTGGCACCGAGAATACATGAATCAACTAGAACTTGCGCTGCGGGAGGTGACTGGCAACTGCGATTTCACGCTGCCCTACTGGGACTGGACAATCGACAGCAGCTCGCCCGAGACCTCGCCTGTGTGGAATCTCGTGGGTGGCGACGGTACCGGTGAGAATCAGTGCATTGAAGATGGCCCGTTTGCGACATTCAGCCCGTGCATCAGCCGAGACTGGGATCGGTCTTGGCACATACCTTCCTTTGCAGACGTGACCAACGTGCTGTCCAACGATGATTTCCGCACGATGGCGACGCGACTCGAGGGCATCCATGGCAACACACACACTTGGATTCGTGGCCTCATGTCCACTTATTCTGCACCCTATGACCCTGTCTTCTATTTACATCACGCATACGTCGACAAGCAGTGGTACGACTGGCAAGTCGTGCTCGGAAACGGCAATAAGTACCCTGAAGAGCTGCTGCACAACACGATGGATCCGTTTCCCAAGACGCCGGCAGACGTGCTTGACAGCGAGGGCCAGCTGTGCGTGGTGTACGAGCCGCCTGGCCGCACGCCGCCCTGCAACGAGGCGCTCTTTGGCGGCACGTTTGAGACAAAGGGGTACTACGCACCCGGTGCCCGGCCGCAGTACGACCGCGACGGCTACGACAGGGATGGATATGATGAGAATGGACTGGACAAGCTTGGGCGGAACCGGGATGGGGTGCGTGTTGGCGGGGTCACTGCGACGGGGTTCAACACGGCCGGAGTGGACAGCCGCGGGTGCAGCATCATGCATCCGATGCCGCTGTACATGCGCGACGTGTTCCAGGCGCAGCGGGAGCTGTACCGGCGCATCCAGGCCAACGCATATGTGCAGCCCGCGCGCACGTGCAGCCCACTGCAGCCGCTGCCGGCGTGGTGGAAGGCGTCCATGTGGATGTCGCGCGGCGGGCTGTACGGGGCGATCATGGATGCGTACGAGGCGTACCTCGAGGAGGCGCTGGTGAGGCAGCCGGACGAGTGGCAGCGGGACAGGACGCAGTCGCAGCCGTCGATCCTGGAGGACCTGTGCTTTGCGGCGGACGACCTGACGCTGCGGCAGGACGACAGCTGGCGGCCGGGCGACGACTACCAGTGCCCGCCCGGCTTGCCGCGGCAGAACTGCGAGTGGAACCCCTGTGCGAATGCGACGTGCCCCGGGTCGCCGGACGCTACGTGCTGGGTGAACCCCTGCGGACGGTGCCGGCCCGAGTTCTACCGGGAGGACGGGTCGCGTGCGCGCTGCTACTCGACGTGCCCGGTGGAGGAGGGCACGTGCACGTTTGACCCGTGCGCGTATGCGACGTGCGAGGCCAACCCGGAGGCCGTGTGCGAGACGAGCCCCTGCGGCGGGTGCGAGGTGGAGTGGAGCGACCCTGAGACGGGCGAGCCGGTGACGTGCGATGTTGAGCCGGACTCGTGCGCTGCGCAGGGCCAGACGTATGTGTGCGGGGAGGACGGGCAGACGTACGACAACGTGTGCTATGCGCGGGAGGCTGGGGTGAAGATTGCGTACGGGGGGCTGTGCGTTGCGTGCGAGCGGCTGTGCCCGCCGGAGGGGATGGCGGCCAAGGCGTGCGGCGAGGACTGGCAGACGTATGCGTCTGTGTGCCACGCGCGGTGTGCCGGGGTGAAGGTTGCGTACACGGGGGCGTGCCGGCCGCTGCCTGTGACGTGTGAGCAGGTGAACTTCTTCAAGGCGTCTGACGCGGGGCGGCAGCAGCTGTGCAACGAGCACACGTCGTGCCTGACGACGGTGGCGCGGAGCGCGGACAACCGGTGTTTCTGGAACGAGGACACGCGGCGGTGCAGCTGCCAGCCGTCGGACGTGGTGTGCACGGCTGGTGCGCACGAGTGTGCGCGGTGCTGCAACGACGACCTGCGGCGGTGCCTTCGCTGGGGGCAGGACAGCGTGGACACGTGCTGGCGGGAGGCGTACGTTGCGTGCACGGTGCAGTGTGCGGAGGAGTACGATGCAGCCAAGCTGCCGGTAGCCGCGGCCTCTGTTGGCAGTGTTGATGATGGCGATGGCGGCGATGGCGGCGATGGAGGGATTAACATCTTCCTTGGAGGTGTGGACATGGTGCACAGCGGTAACGACACGAACAGCACTGCGCCTGGCCCCACTGGCCCGCTGGACACGGTTGTGTTCCGTGTTGGGCTGCGCGGACGCCCGAGCACGACGATGGACGCGGCGCAGTTTGCGGAGGCGACGAGCCTTGCTGTTGGGCGGGCGTCGTTTGTGCCGTCGGCGATGCGTGTAGTTGGGGCGAGCGCGATGGCTGCGGAGCGGCTGGGCAACGCCACGGCCGGGGTTGAGCTTGAGGTGAACGCGGAGAGCAGCGACGGGTACGCGGTGCAGGCTGCGCTTGAGGCCGCGGTGGTGGAGGGCCGGCTGGCAAAGGAGGTGGCCATCTACACCGGCAGCGCCACCACAGACGACGTCATGCTGATTGGCGCCGTTCAAGTACACGCTGTGCCGCGCCCTCCAGATGGCCCCTCAACCCCGTTTCCGACCACCACGGATGGCGGTGGTGGCCATCCCCGTCCAAGGAAGGGAGGCGTGCCACCTGGCGTTTTGACTGGTGGTGCCGTTGGCGGCATTGTGTTTATTGGTGTTGTTGTTGCCCTTGTTGTGTTGTTCAAGCACCGTGCTAACCGCAGCGCTTCCAACAAGGTTGGCGTCTCTCCCGTGAAAATGTGATGAGACGTTGTCGCATACATGAAACAGCCATCTTGATGATGTTGCACATTTCTCTTGTTCGTACCTGATGCCTTGTCTCACATGTTGTGTGAAGGTTAGATGATGTGCGTCCTTATCGGTTTTTGAATTGGCTTACGTGGTTGTCCATCATGTTTACTGTTGTGTGCTTCGATGGACACTGTACGCACGGCGTGCATCTCTCGTTGTCTCGTGCGCTTGCGTGCGTGCTTGTGTACTTGCGTGCCTACGCTCTGTTCATAAACGCACAGCCACCCACTCACTCGTTCCAGGCGTGTGCGTGAGCCAAGCACTGTTTGGGCGGTGTGTCATCCAGCAGCACGCTCCGCCCCGCCACACCATTCGGGGTCAACCTCACGTGTAAACACTCAGTCGCACAAACCAAGCGAGGGAGGGAGCAAGCAAGCAATCAAGCAAGCAAGCAACAAGGGAGCACGCACACACACACACCACACACACACACATCGTTGCGTGCGTGCAGTTGGTTGTGGCGTTTGGTTTGTGTGGTTGGGTGGTGTGCTTGTTGAGAATTGTTGGTAGCATCGTGAATATTCCGTGATCGCACGGCACAAGCAACACCACCAATTCAAACACACACACACCACACAAACCACACACACAGCAACCAAGCAAGCAGCCACACATCACTCACTCAGGTCGCTCGCCCATGCCTCGACAGACATAGAGACAAGGGTGGCAGATTGACGTAACTATCTATCTTGAGCTACACACCGCACGCACCCGTCAGAATCAGACTCCATTGTGTGCCTTGCATCGGCAACAAGTGAAGCGACTGAAGGAGGCGAAGAAGAAGAAGAACAAGCAAAGAAGACGAAGAGGGCGCACAATCTTGCGACAAGTCCGCCCCTCGCTTCCACCTTTGCGTCGGCCTGCGCTGAGCCTGTGCTTGACGTTGCGGCCACACAACGGTCTGGCGCTCTCCACTCTGTACCCTGCTTCTTGCTTGCCCATCAGCGTTGGCTTCGTGTCAGATCGTACGCGTGTACGTGCCTGTGCGTACGGCAACAATCCCACCTTGTTGACTGCAGAAGCGCGGCGCCGTCCCCATCTACAGCACGGCTCTCGGGCGTGTCGTTTCCGTCTTCACCCCTCTCCTGCGCCTGCTGATTACGCGCGCTGTTCCTGCTCTTCCTGCGTAGTCGCATGCTGGGGCCTGGAAGCGCGTGGTTGTGATTCCATCCGCGACGCTCTTGTCACCCGCGCTCTGCTGCGGGCGCGGACATTCTCGGTTGCGGGGCTTCCTCGCTGCTGTTCACATGCATCCAGCAATGAGCAATCGCGCACCTGCATCGCAGGTGCCGCTAACCACTCGCACATCCTCTCTACCTCCTGCACGCACACATATCCGCCACTTCCAAGGGCGGCCCCGCCGCGTACGGGGAAGAGCAGGCCCGACACCTTCCAGATGGCTACTGGCGTTTGTGGTGGTGCTTGCGCTCTGCGTGCCGAGCGTTCTGATGCAGAACACAACAACAACAACGACGACGACGACTCCACCAACAGCGACATCAACGGTTATGCCGACCACTACAGCCACTGCCGCCACCCCACCACTGCCGACTGTTGGCAACAACACTAACTCAACAACCAACGCAACAACGACAACAGCCACGACGACGACGTTCACAACAACCCCGGTGTCCACGACAACGACGGAGGGCTGCGTTGATTCTGACCCATTTCTGTGCGGCTTTATCGCGGAGGAAGGCCACTGCCGGTCCCCGGAGTTTGTTCATCTTGCCTCCCTCTGCTGCGCAACGTGCTCCAGTGCGTCCTGCTGCTGATGGTGGTGGGATGGGGTCGTGATGGTGGTGGACGTGTGCGTGAAAATGTGTGTGTGTGTGTGTGAATGTGTGTGTGAATGTATGTGTGTGTGTGTGTGTGTGAGAGAGAGAGAGAGTGTGTGTGTGTGTGTGTGTCCCGTGTGTGTGCCGTGTGCGTGTGTGCCGTGTGTACTGAGTTGGGCCTGCCACATATCCTGAGTGTGGAGAAATTCCTCCCCCCCCCAATCCACACCTCAGCTCACATGTTGACCACATCCCCCCGTTAGACTCCACGTTGGCGGGTGCAGAACGGACGTGGTATGTGTGCGGGTTTGGTGGTGACGAACCCAGCTCCGTGTGCCTTACACGCGGCCAAGAAACGTGCTTCCCCGTCGTCACATCTCCACGCTCCTGCACTCGACTACCAAGTGAGTTGATGCTCTGGCGATCTGTCGTGACCTTACTTTGCACGCAATGATGTTTTGTTTGCCATGGCGTGGATGTACCTGCTCCCAGTTTTGCGCTCTTCGTCGACCTGAATGTCCTGCCTGTGCCAGTTATGGATGCAATGTCCTGGTCTCACTGGTGTGTATGTGTGCATGTTTGTGCATTGCAGCTGTATTTGGGCTTGGGGAGCGGTATCTTCGCTTGGAGGATCAAGGCAGCGCACCAGGCGATGAATTGAACAACTTCCACTTCTCCATCCACCGAGATGCTGCGTGCACCACATCCTATTCCCTCGACTCTTCTCTCAGCGGATCAACAAACGTGTGTGTGTTTGTGTGTGCGTGTATGTGTGTGCGTGTATGTGTGTGCGTGTACATGTGTGTGTGTGTGTGCATGCGTGCCGGTGGAATGAGCGCAGGTGTCTGCTTCCAATATGTGCACACACATGAGTGAAGCCTGGGTGTTTTCATGGTACACCTTTGTCGCACTCGCTTGCGCCTCTCACCACCATCCTTGTGCTTATCCATTGTGCTGTGTCGTGCGTATGACAGCTTGGCTCGTGCACGGCCGTATCTGCAGGCACGACCACTATTTTCCACATGACGGTGTTTGCCAACTGCACCGAGCAGCAAGGGAACTGGACTTGCTTCGGTATGCACGATTCGCCTGGGCCATTCGTGGTGCAAGCTGGTGTTGACACGCTTGACGCAGATCGCGAGTGATTCTTGTACCCAAACAACCCCATTTACGAACAACCAAACGCATTTCAATACAACAAACACATTCATCACATGCAACAAAACACACACGCACACACACACGCACACACACACACACACACACACACACACACACACACACACACACACACACACACACACACACACACACACACACACGCACATCTGTTGCGCCCGTTCATCTGCGTACATCGCCCCGCGCTCTCCAACTGTTACCGCCACCACAGGGACGAACCTGCCGTGTTTCCACTGGACACGGCGATCGAGGGACCTGTGTGAGCTTCCTGGCGACTCGGTCACGTGCAAATGGGACGCGGCAACACAGTCGTGCACCCTCCCTGGCGCTGCGCAGGGCTGCTCGGGCCGCGTGCCGCCAAACTGCGCATCGGACACATGTCGCTACGATGCTTACTTCAGGCGCTGTGTCCCCACGTCCCAGTGCCAGTGTACGATGGATGGGCTGAGCGGGGGTGTTCGCGTGTTCCATCAAGGGTGTAGTGCCGATCATCGTGAGAGCATGTACAGTGGCCAATCCATCTGCTATATCCGCGGTGGCGCAGCGGCTGCGGGCACCTGTGGGTGTGTGCAGCAGAGCACGGTTTATCCCGGCGCTGCCTTCCGCCCCTGCATTGGCAGAGGTACGAGTCCCACGCGGCTCTGTGTGTGTGTGTGTGTGTGTGTGCGTAGGTGTTCTTGAGAGAGTAGAGAGTGTGTGTATATGTGTATGTGTGTATGTGTGTGTGTGCATGTTCTTGTGAGAGAAGAGTGTGTTGGAGTGCGTGTGTGGGTAGTGAGTGCGTGTACATGCTCCTTGTTTGCATCACTCGCTTTCCCCCATTGCTCGCAACGCGACCGTTCGCCAACACGCCCCATTCACCAAATTATCCAACGCGTCGCCGCCATGTGTCCACAGACAACTGCAACGTGCTGCTTCTTGAGTCCGATGATGCACCCATTGTCAACGGCATGTACATTGCCACCCCGTCAGACGTCAGCTCCTATGGCTGCGTCCCGACATTCAGCTTCCTGTCGTCGGCGTACGGCCTGGGCGATTCCCGCATGCTCTTCACAGCAGAGCCTGAAGAGGGCAAGGCACCAGGTAGGAACAGTGTTTGTGCGTGCATGCATGCATCCATGCATGCGTAAGCGACAGTGTATGTGTGTGTATGTTTGTGTGAGTGCGTTTGTGCATGTACCTTTCATCGCACTGTGCGTTGTGTATCGTGTGAGCTTGCTCACAATCTGTCACCACCACCATTTGTCACCATCACCACCAGAGAACCTCCCGTGGCGCAACATTGCGGACACGTGGCTGTTCTTTGAGTTGAAGGATGCCATCAGCATCTTCCAGGACATTATTCTCAGTGGCTTCATCGCCAGCGAACACGTGCCCCTTATCCGCGAGGTGCTGCCTCTTCTGCCCCTGTTTTGCCTGTGCCTGCTTGTTTTGTGTGTGTGTGTGTGTGTGTGTGTGTGTGTGTGTGTGTGTGTGTGTGTGTGTGTGTGTGTGTGTGTGTGTGTGTGTGACTGTGACGTTGTATCTGTGCTTCAGTGTGGGATTCTGCCTGAACCCCCCCCCTTCTTCCCAACCAAGGCTTTGGAAGCACCACGATTCGCATCCTTCTGTCGCCTTCTCACGAACAATCAAACCCCCCCCCCCTATTCCATGTCATGTGTGTTCAGACACCGTCCAAGGACCCGGCCAACCTCACGGGCATATGGGATGCCCTCTCGGGCACAGAAATCAGAAAACCCGTGTTTGTGCGCCACACATGCTGTGAGTGGTTTAGCGTGCACGTACTCGCTCATGGTGACCTGTGGATAACTGTGTGCTTGTGTCCGTATCTGTGCGGTTACATGTGTCTTTTAGTTGTGGGCGTGAGGTGTGTTCCGCTGTGACTTCAACCGCACTCATTGACGCACTCAAGCGGGTGCGTGCCCCGACTATTGTTGTCCCTTCTTTCACTCCCACGCCTTCCTTGTTGTCCCTTCCTTCACTCCCACGCCTTCCTCATGCGCATCCTGATGACCGCGTGCAACCATGACGACTGCAGCCGCCCAGCTCCCATGCAGCCGCCCACTCGTCAATGTCTTTCCATCAGACATTGACACGAGCATGACTGTTGGCGACAAGATTGCGGCTGTGCAGACCATACCAGACCTGGCAACCATCGTGGCGGATCTTGTGGGCACGCCCCTGTTCTACTTCCTCTCCACCTCTGTCGTGGCGACGCGGACACCCATAGTGCGCGCGTCGTTTGTGGCGACCCAGCCCGACATTGCCAACACCACGTTTGTGCCCACTGTCTCCCTGTTCACCTGCACGGGCGTTTCGCGTGCAAACCCAAAGGCCCAGCTCGAGACAGTGGTACGAATGCGGCGGGTATCGTGTATTTTGGGGCTGCACGGCTGTTCGTGCAGACGTCTGTGCATGTGTGTGTGTGTGTGTATGTGTGTACGCCTGTGCATGTGTGTGTGTGTGTGTGTGTGTGTGTGTGTGTGTGTGTGTGTGTGTGTGTGTGTGTGTGTGTGGGCGATGTTTTTGCTGATGATCCCCGCTTCCGCTCTGTTCCATCTCCGCTCAGTCGTGATATTTCCTTCCTTTTTCCTCCCCTTGCTCACATGCTCCAATCGCCTTGCTCGCGTGCTGTAACCCCTCCCCCCTCTACACACACACACACGCACACACACACACGCAAGACGGAGACGATGGACATGTCGACGGTAGCGCTTCGCAGTGGCCTCTTCAGCCTCTCCCTTCACCCCTACGGCGCCTACCTGTGCCGCCAGCACAACACTGGGCCGGCGTGTCTCGCCACAAAGGACGTGGACCACATCTTCCTCACGCCTGCGCGACCCCCGTCCACGACCGTGAGCAACTTGGGAATACAGGCGCTCACCCCCGTGTGCGCCACGCTCAACTGGGACGCCATGGACATTCGTGACGTGAACGGAGAGCCGAGGGGATATCGCTTCAACGTCACGGCAGGGTGCGTCGCAATGTGACGTGCATTGTGGCAGACATGTGTGTGTGTGTGTGTGTGTGTGTGTGTGTGTGTGTGTGTGTGTGTGTGTGTGTGTGTGTGTGTGTGTGTGTGTGTGTGTGTGGTTGGGTGGTTGGGTGGTTGGGTGGTTGCGCACATCGCATGCGTGCTAGCTGCAACGTTTGGTTCCCACCGTCCTCCTTTACCAATTCGCAACACCCTTGATTCAGCCGAACCGCCATCTCATGTATCTCCCTCCCCCAACCACCACCGCTGCCGCCCCCATCCATGCAGGTGTCGATTGTTGCTGTCAACAATGTTGGAACGGGCCCCGCTGCGTTCACGTCATTCTACACGCAGGATGGACGTACGTGCACCCACAACATCGTTATCATCATTACCACCATTTGCTTCCTCGTGATGATGATGATGATGATGATGATGATGATGATGATGATGATGATGATGATGATGATGATGATGATGATGATGATGATGATGATGATGATGATGATGATGATGATGATGATGATGATGATGATGATGATGGCTTGTAGCATTCATTGTAACACTGTTTCGGCTGCCACATCCAGCAACTTTCTCTCCCCTTGTCTCTTTCACGACTCTCACTCACCTTTGTTGTCCTCTCTGCTCCTCCCGAACCACCACCACCACCACCATGCCCTTTCCCACTTCCCTTTCCTTCCTCTCCACTTGAGCAGTTGTGCTCGGCAGCCCGCCCCTCAACGTATCGCGCATGGGCCCCGAGCAAATCGTGCTGACGTGGCAGCCGCTGCCCGCTCGCCTCCTCAACGGCCGCGTGCGCTCGTACCACATTGTGGAGTTCTCTGCAGCCACGGTCGAAGCACTGGACGCCCTGTCCATTGCGGACGGGAGCAACGATCCGCGCACGGCCGAGACGCCCGACACCGATTTCGGGGGCATCACTGTGGTGGACGCAGACACGCTGCAGTACGAGGTGAACAACCTTGTGCCCGAGCGCGCCTACGCATACGCCATTGCCGTACAGAACCAAGACAACATCGGAGCTTACGGGTGCGCATGTGTGTTTGAGAGAATGGGTGTGCATGCGTATGTGTGCACGTGTGTGCGTGTGCGTGCGTGTGTGTGTGTGTGTGCACGTGTGCGTGTTCGTGTGCGTGTGTGCGTGTGTGGACGCATCTTCATCTGACTCACGCATGATTCCCACGTTTGAACGCCGTGCAGGGATTTTGTGACGGTTGCTGCTTCGACGGCTGGCTCGGGCTCAGACGGGCTGTCTGCCTCAGACACCGTCTCCATCATCGCCTTCGTCTTCATCCCAACCATTGTTGGCCTCATCCTCTTTGTCACATAGTGAGTGGAAGCTCGCTGCTCTCCTCTGCTTGTGTGTGTGTGTGTGTGTGTGTGTGTGTGTGCAAGTGCTTGTGAGCAAACATCTGTGTGCGTGCAAGTGCGTGTGCACGCTGTAGCATTGCTAACACATCCATTTGTGGCTGCGTCATGTGTCTTTTGTGTTCAGCCGCCGCTTGCCGTATCTCCGCCGGAAAATGCCCAACACCCTTCCACGTACGTGCCTGTGTCTGCTTGGCACTGTCATATCATCTGTGCACGCTGGATGGATCTTGAATTTGGCAGTTGTTGCTGTCAACCCTGTGTTGATCTCTCTCTCTCTCTCTCTCTGTCATTGACACAGTTCTCTCACACACACATCCACACAATTCTCTCACATTTTCACACACGCACAACTGCACATATCTGTTCTGCAGCGGACGTGATGCGCCAGTATGAAATCCGCAACGCCTCGCTCGTGATTGTGGACGAGCTGCTGGCAGAGACATCCATCTACACCATTCTTCGGGGCAGCATGCCCAATCTTCTGCGAAAGGACAAGGAGGAAATTGTGTCCGTCACCGTCAAGCAGCTGCGTGACCCTCGCTCCGACGACCAGCTCCTGGTGCGTTTTTATCAATCATGGTTGTCGGCGCATATATATATATATATATATATATATATATATATATATATATATATATATATATATATATATATATATATATATATATATGTGTGTGTGTGTGTGTGTGTGCGTGTGCGGGCGTGTGCGTGTGCGGGCGTGTGCGTGTGCGGGCGTGTGCGTGTGTGTTTTTTCTTCATGTGTGTGTGTGAGTGAAAGAGGATCAAGAGTGAAACATAAACGTGCACTCTTTC